CCGTCTGGGCATGACCGACTCACTACAGTTGTGCCAATGTGAACGTGCTCAGCTTCAGGCTGGCCTGAGCGCTGGACCCTAATCGCAGATCCATGCTCTCCTCCATGGATCTCCGAGCGGCGCAAGGTCGACCTGTCGAAAAAATACCGGATTGGCTCAATCTGTGCGCACAGTCGCTTCGCTTGCTTGTTGCGGCTACATGATGGGCATGTTGGTGGGTATCCGGCTCGCTCGGGCCGGTACCTGCATCGCACGCGCGCTAACACCATGCACGCCCTGGAGGCGTGCATGCATACAATACACGCGACTCAGGGGTACCACGCACGTACCCCTTCCCTCACTAGTTCGTTCACTCAGTCTCACTTAGCTTTGCACGCACACACACATCCTGTAGATACACCACCATCAATTACATTCGTTCCACACCATCTCTGCCTGTCGTGTGCTACCGCCAGCGCCCAAACCATCGCCAGGCGTCACAGTAACACCAACAGGGCATTCCTACCATCATCTCGTCTGCTGACCGACTCGGCCAGCGTCCGACTAGTGCACGGAGCTACCCTGCAACAACTCAGGCCGGATGCGAGTTGAAAGGCGGACGGACGATCTTTTCGTCGTAGTTGTCGATGATGAACTGTCTTCGTTCTTGCCGAGGCAAAGCTTTGTAGGCCTTTGCTTTTTCAGTGCCCATTCGCAATCGGTAGACAATCATGTTGCCATCCGTCGTTGGCTCGCTCGCGAGGTAGTTGCGTCTAGGCTCAGGACCAACGGCGTCGTCCGCGCAAAGACTGCGTTTCTGGGGGTCCATGTTGTACACTCCAACGACGCCAGTCAAGATGAAATGGCCGGAGGCGGATCGCTCGCGACGTCGGGTAAGGCTTTCGACCGCGTTGGATGGATCCAGAGGATCACCTTGGTCGTCTGTGGCACAGTTGCAGCACTCTCCCGAATTGAATCCCTCGCAGTCGGTGATCGCTTCGTTGCTGCAGTTTGTCCCGTCGTAGCAGGTGAGCGTGAATGTCTGCGCACTTGTCAAAGAGACAATCGCTGTTATCGTCAAAGCGAAAGCAAAGGGTGGCATCAAGAAACGCATGCTTTGGCGGGTCGCCTAAGGACGGGCTGCTCTCGCCGTACAGCACACACAGGCTTTACTTACGGCTTTCCAGGATCAGCCCTTTTCCGCAAGGCACGTTCCTCCCCTCGGACGATCAGTGTGGCAGAGCATGGCACGTTTGCCTCGCTCGATGCTCTGTAGCTAGCGAGACTGTCGCGATCGACATTCTGGCGCCGGCGTGAGAATCAATGATTCCACCCGACGCGAGGAAGCATGGCTGATAAAAACAGGCACATCCGTCTGACAATCTCCATGGAGCTGAGCAATTTGACCATTGGCCAAGCAAGCAACTCCAGGCTGACGACGATCGTCAGGGACAACAACAGTCTGGGAGTATCGTACACGTTAAGCGAGGTCCCTTTGCTTCCCACACTAAATTTGGTCGCCGGTACTGGCCGAGTTCAGGGTCCGCTTCTATGCATGGAATCCACGTTGCCGCCGGAGCCCTCCATTCAAAAATCGAGACGGTCTGCTACAAAGTCAAGACGGTCTACGACAAGCTTAATCCAAGACGGTCCAATGCGAGCTCAATGAGGATTCCAGAGCAGCAGGACGCTCCATTTGCATTCCAAGACGGTCCACTACGGATCAAGATGGCTGTTCCGGGGGAAGCCGCATGCCCTGCCGCACGCCCTGAGGCACGAGCGGAGGCGCGCCAAAGTGCGGATCGAAAAGTCTCGGCTCTGTGGCCCGTTGATCCGCAGGTCGAAGCGCCACTCGACAGAGTTCGCCAGGTTGCGCCGCGGTAAGGGCTCCACACGGTCGCGCGCAATGCTGCGACCCAGCGACGCTCAGGCGAGCCATTCCTGAAGCTGAGTGACAAGAAGCGTGCGGCCGGCTTTGGCGGCTCCAGTGTCCTTGAGCGGATCGAGAAGGAGGAAGTCGTGGATGATACCTCCAAGCCGAGCACTAATAAGGAACCAAGTCGTTAGCCTTTGACGAGTCAACGCCGCAAGAGGAACCAGACGATCTTGAGACTTACCTCGTGACTTGAACGCCAGCCTCGCGCAGCTTGGCAGCGTACTCTTCTCCGTGGTCGCGCAGGACGTCAGCCTCGGCAGTCAGGATGAGAGCAGGCGGCGCTTTGGCCAGCACCTCCTTGTCGGTTCGAAGCACCGAGATCTGCGCATTGTCCGCGCTGGCGCTGGCGACGCCCGCGGTGTACTGTTCAAAGAACCTGCAAAAGCATGTCCAAATAGTACGAGGTCAGGTTGCATTGTTTGAGGACAGGCAACCGGATACTGTGCAGTACTTACCACTTCATGGCGTCTCGTTGCAGGAAGAATCCCTGGGCAAATTCGTTGTAAGAGCCAGAGTCGAACGAGTAATCGCACACGGGGTAGAGGAGGGCCTGCCCACGGAGAGCTTGACCTTGGTCGCGCAGGGCAGTGATGGCCGACATGTTGCCACCAACAGAGTCGCCTGCAATGGCGATTCGAGTGGTATCGCTGAAGCACCAGAAGAGTAAAAAAGCGACTTGGTTAGGCCCCAAACGATCTTGCCAAGCGCCAGTTCAAACCACGCGAGGGCACGCTTACACATTGTACTTGTCGCCGTTCTGCTTGATGTGCTCGAGAGCTTCCCAGATCTGGTTCAGCGCGGTCGGATACTTGGCTTCGGGCGACCTGGTGTAGTTGACAGCGAACACAGCTGCATCCACCCTCTTTGCGATCTCGGCCAACAGACGGCCGAAAGCGTCCGGGCTGCCAAACACCCAACCTCCGCCGTGAACGTAATACACGACGGGCAGACGCTGCGAGGAGGTCTGGGCGGGCTTGATCAACTTGAGGTCGAAGGTGGAAAACGTGAGAACCTCGGTGGTGATGCCGTCTCGGTAAGCGACCGACTCCTTCTGCACGCCATCAAAGATCTTTCTGCCCTCGTCCGGAGAGAGCTCGAAGAGGAAGGGAGGCTTGGCAGTTGCGCTGTGGTCGGTGTGCATGCAAGGTGAGAGAGCTCGGTCAATTGCCTGAGATTCGAGCCGCATCAAGGCGCTTATGTACCTACTCGGCAAACTGTTGTGCAGCTTTTTCGAGGACCACCATGGTGTCGTATGTCGGTGCGAAAACTAAAGGGCGCAAAATTGAGGTGTGGGTCGTTTGACAGAATGGACAACAGCTTCGAATGCTCGCCTCATCCGTCAGCATATATAGGCAATGTTGCGTCGTGAACAGCATACGATCGTGCCTAAGCGCACAGACCATCCGAAGCTAGACAGCAGCTGAGCGTACAACTCAGACTTTCAAAGCCTAGACCGTACACCAATACAAGCGAGACCTTGGCGTGACCCGTGCCCTGCACGCATTTCGTGACCGCACAGAGTTGATCGATAGGTTGGAGGGCGGAGCGTCTCCACAACAATGCGGCGCACGGTGTCAGCGTCGTCAATACTTGTCGAACTGCGCGCCATCCCCATGGTCGTCTCGCTTTAGCTGCTGCTCGTCTTCGGTCAATTAAGCAGAGGCGAGGAATACGCGCCGAGATACCGAACTTTCGCAACGATATTTGGCCGAGGCGAGCAACACAAGCCGATGCGAGACACAGGCTTGAGAGCTGCTACGCCACTTCGGATGCGCTTCCCCCACATCTCCCACATTGCACCTCCGATCCGACCCGCCAAGCCTGACACCCGAGCGAGACCGACGTGCATCGATGACAACCGGAGAGACCCTCGTAGTCTAGGCTTCCTGGCTTCTCTCGTCCGCACCTCTCCTCTATCCCGAGGCACAAAGCTGGAATTGGCCGGCCAAAATGCAGCCGAGAGACATGGATGAACTTTCGAGGTTAAGGTGGGGCGGGCCAATCAGTTCTTGCTCCCCCTTGCGTGCACGGACATCCGATTCTTCTCAACGACTTCTCCAAACAGGGCTGCGCGAGTTCTTGTCAAGGGCGAGACTGGTCTTCTCGGCGCCAAGCCACCCAACGCTGGACAAACGCGCAGTCCGTCTTGGCCAGCTATGCGGATGTCACCGCCAAGCGTCAATAACGACTCAGGCATGTGCACATTAAAGCTCACTCTAACGCACGGTCGGTCGCAGACGAGCAGCACGGAGCCCATCGAGCCCCGGTGCACTTGTAGCAAGCAGCGACCGACTCCGTTAGAATCGTTAATCCCGAAAGGGACACCTCGGCTTTTGCTGTTGGCCATCCCGCTGCATGCACCGATGGCAAAGCTGGACGTGAGCAAGGCGGAGATGGATTTCAGTTTCTGCTTCTGCACTGCTCGGACGTGGTTTGATCAAGTTTGGCTGTCGTGGATAGGTCCGCTCCGGCTGGAGTGGCGCATCGATGTACGCCCCAAGTGCGTGTGAGCATGCCGCTCGCCTCAAAAACTTCAGGAGTGATCTCTCTTCAGGTGCTTGGCCTTTCCGTCGGGTTTGCTCGTGCTTGCCTCGGATGACAACGACAGTTTCTTGCTCGCTCCGCTTGGCAAGTTGAGCTTGGGTTATCCACAGACGCGCAACGTGCTTGCAATGGCTCATGATTGCAGCTGCTACGATTCCAAGCCTGACAAGTCGCACCGCTCCGCACCGCTCGCAAACTCGCAAAATCGAGGTCGTGCATAGGCCAGGTCTTGCTGAGTGTAGAAGACGCAGCACCGACCGATTTGTGATCCATGCTCGGTGTCCTCGCAGATGATCACGCACACCGTCAGCACCATCTCCTTGTGCAGCCGCCATTTACGACACCTCCTGCAGTCGGGCAGCTCCACCTACGTTCACAGCCAAATCGTGTCGCAAGGGTCGAGCCGGCAGAAAGTACATTGCGATGGAGGCGGTGTCATCTTCTTCAACATCGGCATCTCAGCACGTCAGCTGTCGTCTGTCGATGATGCCCGTAAAGATTCTCCACGCTTAGCAGCGAGCTTGCTCGGCTTTCAAAGCGTACAGACAAGGTACACAGAAGCGCGGTGCAGCGTTATGGCCCAACATCGTGCAGAGCTAGGCGCTGCAGCACCGCTCTGAAGCTCCTCGCCAGTGCCCAGGGAGAGCAATCCAGCAGGTCCATGAATTTGGTCAACATCTGACCTATCGATCCTCCCAACAGCTCCTCCATCGAGGCTCGGTCCTGCACCGCCGACATCGTTTCTGCTTCCGGTGATCCGAGAGTCGCCTCGACGCTGGTCGAAGGAGTCTGATACGACTTAGGGTTAGGGTTAGGGTTAGGGTTAGGGTTAGGGTTAGGGTTAGGGTTAGGGTTAGGGTTAGGGTTAGGGTTAG